GTGGAGAAGGTATTTATTTCTCAAATTATGTCTACTTAGTTCATTTTTAAAAAAATATTGAGCATGCATTACTTTCACAAGTGTTAAAATAGGGAAAAGTTAGGGCTTTTAATAGTATATAAGAATGAGCCCCGCAGCAGCTCTTCTCTTTGGAGAGGAAAAAAGGAGATTGTCAGCACCCATACAGAGTGGTAGGGCGTGACAAGGGTAAAGCCATGTTAGACATTCTAGCAGCAAGTCTCGGATGCTTTTCCGTGGAAAAAAAGACTTCTCTGGGGCTTCCTGGTGTTCACACCAGGAGTGAAAGAGGATCCTTCTGGTATTGATCTGTATATCTAGGAGGGTTGTGCTTGCTTACTGAGTGAAGAAAGAGGTCTGGTTGATGACTTCCATTTTCATTACCTGTAAATGTGGTTATTGAACCCAGATAACATTAACCAATGAAAACAACAGAGGTGCCACTTTGCAAAAAGTCTTTGAAAACTTGGGGTAGGCTACAATTGCTTAGGATGCAAAAGCATTGAGCTATAAAAGAACAAATTGGTAAATTGAACTTCCTAAAAATTGAAGACTTCTATTTATTGAAATATGCTATTAAGAAACTGAATAGATAAGCTCTGGACCAAGAAAAAATATGTAAGTCATAATGGCATTATATTCAGAATATTTAAAGACATCTTAATAGCTAAATATTTAGTTGAACAGCCAGTTTAAAAATGGGCAGGAGGGCTGGGGATTTAGCTCAGTGGTTCTGCCGCCTGCCTCGCAAGTGCAACGTCCTGAGGTCAGTCCCCGGAACCAAAGGGGCGGGGGGGGGCCAAGAAAATTGAACAGACTTTTCCCATAAGAAAGGCACACAGATGTCCAATACACTCACAGAAAAATGCTCAACATCATTTGTTATTAGGGAAGTAAAAGTTAAAAACCGCAGTGACATACCACTAGGTGTCTAATTTTTTGAATGTTGATACTAGGTATTGAACTTGGCCTTCAAACTAAATAACATGTCTAGCCTTCCCAATCCATTTGAACTGTTTTATTTTGAGAGAGGGTTTTGCTAAGCTGTCCAGGTGGGTTTCAAACTTGATATCCTCCTGCTCAGTCTCCCTAAGTACCGAGATTGTTTGTGCACTACCATACCTGGCTTAGGTGTCTAAAATTTTATTTAAAGATGGATAATTTCAAGTGTTAGCAAAAATAATTGGTGCGTGTTCTTTGGAGAATGCTTTAGCAGTGTCCTATAAAGTTACACATAATTTTACCAACAAGTAGTGAAGGAAAAGGAAAATGTGTCCCAGAAAACTTGAACAGCATTCACAGCAGCTTGTTGCCCTGTAATATCCAAAACTGAAAACAAGTCAAAGTCAATTGAGTGGTGAATAGATAAACAAGCTGTGATTTTTTCATTCAATGGAATGAATAGTAAGGAATGAACTTCTGACAGTGTATCATGGATGAACAACAGAAAGCAAAGAAGGGCCAGGGATTTAGCTCAGTGGTTCCACTGCCTGCTTTGCAGGCACAGGGGCTGCCTGGAGAAGTATGTCTGCTGTGGGGTGCCTGCAAACTTGGGAGTGATGGAAATGTATTTCTGAGTTGTGCTTTTCATTTTGACTAGGTTGATGTTAACACTGTTATAAAATTTGTCAGAACTTATCAAAATCTATACGTAAAGTGAGTGTATTTTGGTTTTTATTAGTAGGTGCTTGTGGTATATAATGATTACATTTATGGGGGGAGTTGCTACATGTACATAATGTATTTCAATTGATTTTTTTTCCATGTCCCTCTTTCCATCCCTTCTCCTTCCAACTCTTGATCCCCTTCCATTTGCAAAAGCTCTATTTTCATCATTTTTTGCCTTCAGTTCTTTTTTTTTCCCCATCCCCTTTCCCTAACCCTAACCTTCTCCCCTCCCTCTATCTCTTGGTCCCCTATCCATTTGAAAAAGATCTCCCTACTTTCTATTTATCTGTTTTCTGTATATACACAGAGACAGAGAGTTTCTCATTAAGAGAAGCCATGCAGTATTTAAGCTCATGTTTCTGATTTATTTCACTTAATATTATGGGCTAAGTTGCACCCATTTACCTACAAATGCCTCAAGTTTGTCTGTCTTTATGGCAGAGTAGCAAACTGTATAAAATACCACATTTTCCTTACCCATTTATCTATTCGGGGAATATACGTCTTTTCTAAGATTTAGCTGTTACAAATTGTGCTGCTATAAACATGGGTTTGCATGTATCCCTGTAATATGGTGACTTTAACTCTTTTGGGAATATACTTAGAAGAGGAATAGCTGGGTTAAATGGAATTTCCATTTTTAGTTTTCTGAGGAATCACTCACTATACCATTTGTTTTGGTTTACATTCCCACCGACAATGTAGAGAGTCCTTTTTCCTTAAATCCTCACCCAGCATTTGTTATTATTTTACTTCTTGATGATGATCATCCTTTGAAGAGTAAGATAGCGTCTCAGTGCTTGAATTTGCATTCCAAGTGAGTATACTTTATGGTATGTACATCATTCCACAATAAAATTGATATTTAAAATATTGGCACTTGCTGTGCCCTCTGGGGAAGGTAGGCACCTCTGGGCACAGTAGGGTGTTAGTATGCATGATCACACGGCAGTTTTTGTGGTTACTAGTTGCTCACCATGTGTCCTGTGCTCTGCCCTCCTTTCCATTCTCTAGTTAGGAACTGGTCCTTTGGAAGTAGGGAGTGGAGCTATAGAGATGCATGGGATACGTTATGAATAAGGTCATAAGGGAGATGTGTGTTACACTTACCAGAGTGCCATGGGGCCAGCGTGAGTCCCCTCGGAGCGTCAGCAGCATTATCTGTGCAGACATCAGGCATGACAACTCTAATTAGAAGGAAAGGTGGGGACCAGTTGTTTGGCATTGTACGCTTGCTTACCTTGCGTGTCTGCTTGGTGTGGGTGGACATCAGGGGGTGGAGTCTGTGGTTCTGGAGCACTTCCCCAAGCTTATGTTCCTCTAAAAGTGCGAGTGCTCCTGGTACTCTTTTCCATGAAGTTTCTTTTTCTTGCACTACACCTTCTGTTTATCTGTTGCCCCCAGACTTTCTCCTGAGATCTACTGTGTTTCCAAGAGTAAAGAATTTTCTTTCATTTGCTAGCAAATCAAAGAGGAAAGGACTCCTGACTTCTTACGTGTGTTTCACTTAACCCAGCAAACATCCAACCCCAGGTCACCTGTCACCTTTGCATTCTCAAAGATGGCAAAGAACCTTTTCTTAGTGAGAAGAAACAGTTCATTTGTCGGCCCATCTCTGAGAAAGAGAAAGGTCCTTCTTACAAAAGGAGTAGGAGGGGGGAAGGCTAGGAGCTTCCTTGTGGGTACCAGTGATAACACTGAGATTGTGAGCCCTGCTTCCTGGCAACCGGCCCAGGAAGGATAAGAGAAGGGCAGGGCAGTAGACCCTGGTCGAGGGAATAGAACTTTAAGCTGTTCAGTTACTCATCCAACTAGTATATATATAAATATCCGTGGGGAGGGATGACTATTGTAGGAATTCAACCCAGGAGTTGCCATATAGTTAATTTACCTGTTTCTCATACAATGCACTTACTAAAATAAACTTTTACTCCGTTATAGAGTGTAAGTAACAGGCCTCCTACAGACAAAATAGAAAAAGGCCTGCAGAGTAAAGTTCCTTTACTTCTTTTTGAGACATTGTCTTCTGAAACCAGCATCATCTATATTATTAATCACTTGTGGGCCTTTATACCACATTGCATTACTCCCTTGGAATTAAACTGCACATATAAAGTATGAAAAATGTACTTTTTAAACAGTAAAAAAGTAATTTTCTCACATAATACCCCAAATAAAGTGCCATAGAGCCATTAGTAGTAAATTGAATTTTTTGGTATGTAATTTGTACAAAAACTGACAAGCGCGAGCCCCCTCTCCCCCATCATTAGTCACTGGGCTTAGCGGACACAGAGGCAGTAATCTGCAAGGGCAGGCATTTTGATGTCGACTTCAATTGCACACTTCATTTATTTGGACAGGGCACAGGCGGCAGCTTCTGTCACGCGGCATCACGGCACTATTAGTGAATTTCGCCCCAGGGCAGCTGGGACGCTGTGCTGGGGCAGATGTTCTTTTCAGCCTATTCAGTGACCATTCTTGGGGGTTGTTTACTGTTGCCATGGTGACCTTCATTTCCATAGCAGCGGCACTGCTGTTTCTCAGAGGAAAATGAATTTAGTTATAAAAGGATAATATTTTTCTCTGTCTCCACATAACCTGCCATCTGTCATCTGGTGGATCGGTAAGGATTCAGAAACCTATTAAGAATTATAGCAATGAAGTGATGGGTCTGGGGGACGCAGATTAAAACCAATAATAGATGTGGAAGCCAATACTGTGCCCTCCCTGTAAGAACTTTAATTTTTTTCTGTATATTTTAAGTACTTTTTTTTAATGCCTTCATCACCTCTCCCACCACCATGTACACACATAACCTCATAAAATACAATTTGCGTTCTCCTGACAAAGGGAAATGACCAACTGTCTCGTTTGTGTCTCACTCAATGCAGGTGTATTTAATGCTTCTCTTCTTGGAGCTGTGAGCTTTCCTCAGTTCATTAGAGATTCCTGTGGCTGCGCTTCCTATTGTCACCACCTCTTCTACTCCTCACCCAAGGGTGAGAGCCAGGGGGGCATGTAGATCAGCAACTTATCAGAAACATCCCATGCATTACAACATTCACAAAACAGAAGAAGCCATGCTCACCTGATAAAGAAAACTTACGAACATGCTCCTTACATCTCCCTCTGAAGTACCTTTTCTTCCTCTCAAACCCTAATGGTAAGGCAGTCGCCTTTCAGGATAGCTCATCCAGTTCCTGGATTTTTTTTTTCCTCTATTGTACATATTCATGAACTGTAACTTGCAGGGGGAAAATACACACACACCAGCCCCGTTGTAAATAATGTTATTTATTGGTTGATTTTTCCAGATCCTGACATTGATGCTGCCAGTGCCATGATGCTTTTGAATACTCCCCCTGAGATACAAGCAGGTTGTGAGTAGATATTTCTATAGCCTACAGCACCATAGTTTGTGAACTTAACCTTCTCACTCATATACCAGGCCACAGGGAACACTAATGCTAAAGTAGACCTCCCCTTGTAGCATGACTTTAAAAACTACGTTAGCGCTTAACTACATGCATATGCATAGAACGTGCATCCATGCCTACGTATGAGTGAATGCATAGATGCTTTTCTGAGATGAGAAAGTTCAGATAGAATTTCAGGGCTTATAACTTGGGGGCAGAAAAACAGACCCCATAATGACCCCAGTGGAAAGACCTTCCTTTCTCTTGCAAGAATCGTGCCTCTGAGCTTTAGAAGCTCTTAATCCGGTCAGCTTAACCATGATGGAGCTGAGCAGTACTCATTTTCAGACATTTCTTTCCTTTCTGGGCCTTGATACAAGCCTGCTGTTTTGGAAAGCCAGGCCTGCTCACGTTTACACTAGCCTTGCAATGGAGCCATGACACCTTCTATCGTCTCTACGCAGCCTTTCAGGCTGTCACGGAGAGAAGGGCACAGCTGAGTTAGCTAAGCAGGGCTCCTGCTCCACCTTCTGTTGGCCATTGAGCAACGTCACGTTTGAAGTAACTCTTCTCCTACTTGGACTTCGTTTCTATCTGCCGTCTGATGTCGTTTTGCATCTTTTGAGCTAGACGGATGTAGTTTTAGAAAGTTTTCTTTCACAAGAGATGAAAAATGACAAATGAAGATATCTGTCCCTTTTCTAGACTCAAAGCTTGTTCCTCTGCCCACATTCCACACCCAACCAGAACCCTATGAGTGGACAGAGAGCTGCACTACCAAGGTCTACCCAGATTGTCACTGGGACCTGGATTGATTCATTGCAGTCTATTGATGGAACTTGCTGGTGTGGGGACGGTGACATAAAGCAATAGACATCACTGTGACATTGCCGGGGACTGGTCCTCACCTTTCTCATTGCTTTGGCTGAGACATTTGCCCATTTGGGGCTCTGGCTCTCTGAGACTCTCTTGGCCTCCTGAGCAATAGGAATGCCTTGCTTTTGGAGACGATAGTGTTTCCCACCAGAAAGTGCCCATCCTCAGACCCCCAGCAGGTGTTGCAGTGGACTGATATGGGTTCCAGGCCGCCTTTCATAGACCTCCACTTGTCCCAGCCTTTCTGATAGTTTTAAGAAATTTGGCTCCACTGTTGATTTTTGTTCCTGTTGAAAAGACTACAGAAATGTATCCAAGAATTCTCAGGAAGACTTGCTCTTCTGCCTGTGCTGTCCTTACCTGCTCCTTACAGTGCAGGATTCTCATTCTTCCTCTGCTAAACTTGGGTTGCTAGCATTTGGAATGTTAGTCAGCCCAGCCAACACCACTGCTTCCCATGTGTGTAACCGGTACACTTCTATAACTAGCACTTAACCTGGAATGTGACTTTTAAACGATGGTCAGATTTTTTTAGAGAAATACTTAAAAACCTCCATTCTTAGATGACATCTCAGGAAAAGTACAGCCTAGATTGTAATCAAGTTCCAGGCTGAAATGATTTATAAAATCAAGTTGCTTAACCTGTCGTGGTAGAAACACTGATTTCATCAGAGCCCTGCAAGATTAAAGCACCTTCTTTAGCACCCCAACCATTGTACATTAGGTTAATGACCATTAAGTTGAAAACAAAAATACTTCCAATGAACTGGTGGAAAAGACAAGGGGATTGATTGAGCATTCGCAGAGCCTCAGCAACTTCCATGAAATTCTGTCATTACTGAATTCTTGACTACAGGTAGAAGAGGAAAAGTGGTGCTCCTGATTAGCCTGGCTCAACGGGTTAGTTGTTTTAAATGTTCTCATTTCCATCCCTTTACCTCCCCAACTGGAAAAATTGTCTTTCCAAGATATTAATAGTCCTGTTTACATTGGAATGCTGAAGTGAAATGCTGTAGTTGAGAGTTACAGAGCTGTAGGGTCATTTGGGAAGGCTTTCTTAAAAAGCTAGTGCTTCTGGGTGGAGAAGTCCAGCCATAGCCTTCAGGAAGGCCCCAGGCTGGAGGGGGTTCCAAAGCCCCCAGAAGAAAAGAACCAGGTTACCTGTGAAGGTCACAGAAAGTGAAGTCATAGACAGGAGCAGAGAGGCGTAAGCATGAAGACTGAGGCTAGGGATATTTTCATGTTCATCCTCCCATCTGACCTCCAGTGCTGGTTTAATAATATCCAAGAGGTCAAGTACAAGCATAGTCAGTGGGCAGGTAAAAGCCCCCCAGAACTGGAGCAGTACCTTATGAAGGAGTGAAGATACACCAGGAGTCTTCTGTGTACCTGGAAAGCCAGGTAGCTGACGCTCAACCTTGAAATAGAGCCAGAGGTAACCACTGCTTTCAGCCAGTGCTTCCTTGCTTCACTCTTCCCTGCCCACCTTTATTTCCTTTTGCACTGCGTAGTGTTTCTTGCCTTGAAATTTGAGGCCGTGCCTGGCCCTCGTAAGAGAGAAGCGTTACAAAGCTAGAATGATTAAGCTGCCATTCCTGGCCCTGCCGGTGTGGTCCCAGGCTAGAAAACAAGGTGAGATTCCTGGGTGTAAGGTCTCGGTGTGGATCTGCACCAGCCTTCTCTGGGTCCCTCCCTGTCCAGAGTGGGGCTGTATTTCCCCCTGGGCTGGGGCTCCTCACTCAGTGCTCTCTGCAGCCCCTTAGCTTCCCTTCTCAGGCTGCTTGATCCCCTTGTCTGAGCAGGAGCTGTCAGCCTCTGTGCACTCCAAGAAGTTAGAGGCTGGCTTGAAAGGTTTTCCCTTTGTCATCGCCCTTTGTAGCCACTCCACTTCAGGTCCCCAGATGGCAGCCATTTAGATCTTTTCCTTTCTTCCTTTTTTCACTCAGCATCTGTAAAGTCAGCTCAGGGCTGGTGGACCAGCCACTGTCCGGGGTGAGTAGTTCCTATAAAGGAAACTAACTGCTCAAGAACCTGTTAAATGCAAGCTTCTTGCTCTGAGGGACCCACATGCCCAGGGGAGCCCCATGCATCCTACATTGCTTGGGCTTGGGCCCCTCTCAGTTCAGCCTGATGCTTTTCTTTCATTCCGGCAGTGGGTTGCAGCTAATGAAAACCTTGGCTCTGACGGTTCGCCCTCTGGCAGCACCCGAGGAGCATGTGACATGAGCTTTTCCAGACTGCCAGTTTGCAGCATGGTACGCATTCTGCAAGGAGAGCTGTTGGGTTCCACGTGCTCCCCAGGACACTACTTCAGAACAGTCAGTGTGGGGCATGGCTGACTCAGAATCTTCCTAACTTTGGATTATGCTTCGGAGTCAGCTCCATTCCCTAGCCCACACTTCCTACAAAGATTTCAGCTTCTGGTATCTTCTTTGAGCACCTGCCATGCAGAGCCCTTTTGACAAGCCCAGTGAGTCATCTTTAACCCCCGTGGAGGAATTGTTATTAAGTCAGGAGAAGCCAGATCACCATTACTCATCTTCAAAGGCTTATGTAACCCTTGGTTGGAATGTTCCCACAGGCGAACTCTGGATAATAAACAAAACAACGCAAAGGACCTAGGGGAAGGGTGGTTGGCATTCCACACCCCCTGGAACTGGGGTGTATGTCAGCCTCAGAAGACCAAGCAGGAGACAAGCAGCTGGGAAATAGGTCCCCTCCCCAGCCTGCTTCTAAGGGAGCAGGTGGAAAGGCTGCCTTTCAGGGAAGGGAAAGATTATAGGAGTCACCTGCTGTTCAGCTTATGGCCTGTGGTAGAGTTGGCCAGGGCTGCCCTCTGAAGGCTGCGGGAGGAGCTCCGAGGTTAATTTTAGAAGTGAAAAATCAAGTGAGCTATGCATCAAGAGGGAGGCTTGGGATGGGCTGAGGGACGACTTACTGTGCAGGAGAGTCTGTATTAGGCCTCAGGTATTTTTGTTGTTCTGTAAGTTTCCCAAAGTCACCTTATCCTGTTCGATCCGGGCATCTACAGTGATTGGTGCTGTTTGATCGGGCTGTTTTTATGAGTGTGTTGCTTTCTTGCTAAAGTCAGCAAGTTTAGAGTCAACCCTCTTAACTTCACAGAAGCCCAGCAAGTGTCAGGGACTCCAGTGCTGAAGTCCTTGGCATCTTAGCCCAGCAACTAGAAAGCCCCAGACCTGCATCTTCTGTCCTGTAGAAGATGTGCATTTAACTGGTCTACAAAAAAGGCTGATGCTTGAGCCTTGGGCCTCTTCTAGTGAGAGCCACAAATCAAGCAGAGGTTGATTCCCTGTTGGCAGTTTGTTAAGTCTTTGACCTGGGTGGAGATTAGCTTCTTTCAGTGCATTTTGTGGGGTGGGGTGGTGTGAAGGTGTTGGTATTTAAGTGTCTTCATGGGCTCTGAGGGAAACAGAGGAAGGAAAGAGTAGATACACTGATAGACCAAGGGCTGAAGAATGGACTCACGTTCCTGCCAAAGCCAGTAAAAGCAGGGGAAGATGGACATCAGAATGCCCTTCTCGGGGAGTTGTTTATACCATCTATGATGCATTGTTCAGAAGCCACATTCCTGATGGATGCTAGGGGATGCGGACAGAAAGGAGGAGAGACAGCACTGTCCCTGGCTTCTGGCAGTCAGTGAGCAAATACAAACACACCCAACACCTCCCCGTGGATAATGCTCCTGGGGAGCAGGAGAAGCGCCAGGATTCGCGGAGATGGCGCTCGGAGATAGCGCTTGCTTGCAGTTCTTTGGAGAACAAGCTCCAGGCCTCAGAGCAGGAGCCCAGGCCATGCCAGAAGTCTTGTGGGGTACAGAAAATAGCTCAGGAGAACTGTACAGTGCTACAAGATCGTTTTGTCCACGAGATTCTCTTTAAAATGAGTGCAGTTCACTAATCGGGAAGATGTTTTAACAAGGAAGGGCAAAGATACAGCCAATTACAAAAGGCATAATACAAGTGAAGGAATTTCCCCACGTCCTGAGCCTTTTAAGCCCTGTGCCTTATGTATAATTAATGAGGTTGCTGGAGAGGTGATGTGGGGGCCTGGGGGTGGCATACATGGCCGGCCAGCCACTGAGCTAAGCAGTTTACATAACTCACTTTATTTGATCCTCAGAACAGCCCTGTGAGGTGTGTTTATGCTTGCTTTACTAGTGAGTGAATAGAGGTCTGAAGAGGCTAAGGTACTAGGCCAAGGCCACGGGGCTAGGTGGGCCGAGCCTTTGAACCGAGGCAGAGCCTTCAGCCACAGAAGTGTGTGTGTTCCCAGCAGGGGGCATCAGCGGCTCCCAGGCTCCAGTGAGTGCTTGGTGTGGACTGGCTCCTTCTCTCGGTTGAAGGTTTGGGCACTGGGAAGAGGACCCCATGATGAACTGTCCTAAGGCTGCTTTTCTTCTTTCATAGGCACATGTCTCCTGGCCACGCCAGAGAGCAAAGGTACATGTGCTCCATAACTTGCATGTACTCTCTTCCCCTCCAGGGTTTCCTTGTCTCTGTCCAGTGTTCAAGGCTAGAGGGTTTGTGCTGCAGTAATGGCTGACGTACAGCACACAAGGACAGCTGGGAATCACCAGAGCTATTCAGTCAGCCACTCTGTCACCGGGAAGACGACTAAATTCTGTCTTGTCGGTGTGGCTTTTGCCTCATTCCATACTTTGGGTTTTCAGCTCACCTAATGTGCAGGGTGCTCAAGCCTCCTAGAAACTCCTCTGTGCACAGTGATCGTGCCAGCAATGGCAGCAGTGATAGCTAACACACGTTCTCAATACGAGCGCCTCTTTTAATTGAGTTAAATCTCCTAGTACCTTGAGAGGTAAATATTATTTGTCCCCTGGCTTACTTAAGGAGTCGCGGGGGGTTCAGTCAGTAGTTGACAGAGCAAGTGCTCAGACCCAGAGTTCTCAGCCACTTCGGGGCCGGCCACTTTCTTGCTCTAAATCATATAACTGTTTTCCCAAGTCCCATGGGCTAACATCTGAGTGTGTCCCATTCCTACTCTGATTGTATGCTGTAGCAAAATAACTTAGGTTTTGGCATGCTGTGCTTTAAAAAAAAATCAATTTCAGGTCTTTGTATCTGCTGCTTCCCTGGCTTAGAATTGCAGTGTAAGTGGCACTTCTTACAGAAGTCTTCCTTGTACCACTATATACCTCCAGCCCATATAACTCTTACTATATTGTGTTTTCGGTGTCTCAGACTCTCTTTATCTGCCCCACTTAACTCTTCTTACCCTATATCCTTATCGCCTGATACAGATAATGCATAGGAAGATGCTTGGCAATTATTAATAATTAATTGATACAGCCTGTGTATGAGACCGTCACCATCTTTATTGACCAGGGTCACAGTGTAGTTCAGATTTTCAGTATTAAGTTACTCATCCACGTAGTCTATGATATGTGATTCATTTGGCGCCCCACGCAGAGCCCTGGAGATGGATACCTTATGTAAGAATTGAACTCAGCCTATGGTTACGTGACCATTTCTAGGGCAATGCCATGCAACAAAATGATTGAAACTTTCTCTCACAGTCCCCAAACAAAAAGCCCCTCTTTTATACACTGTAACACTCACCTTGTTATACTGGTCTTTTGCATATGTCTGTCCTTGAGAATTATTGATATTTTCCTCCTATTATTTTCTTCTAGAAGTTTTATTATTTTCATTCTTATGTTTAGGTTTGTGGTACATTTAATTTTCATATGTGGTATGAGATTGAAGTTGAGATTCATTTTTTTCTAAATGGATCCCCAGTTTTGATGTTCTCTTTTCCACCATTTTTGTTGTCTTGATAGCCTTAGCAACAATCAGATGACCACACACGTGTGGTTCTAATTCTGGATTCCCTGTGGTTCCTTTGATTTCTATGTTTGTACTATAACACCACACTATCTCCTCCCTCAGATAATCTAATCTATCATCTGAAACCAGGCTGCCGACGGGGGGTGGGAGAAGTTCCTGATATTGCTCTGCTCACTCCCAAAGTTGGTTATGGTAAGAGGCTGGGCTCATTCTGGAACACTGGACTACTAGTGGTGCTGTTGACTTAGGCAAGAGTTTTAATTTTAACTCCCCTCCCACCTTTTTGCAAGACCTAAGGGCTTTGTACAAACCTGGAAGAGAAGTGGCAAAAATTACTAGCAAGGAGTACAGAATGTCCAAGAGGTCAGTAGTCTGTAAAATTATTCCATGCTCATGAGTGGACTTGCCTTACCTGGGGGGTGGGAGAAGTTCCTGATATTGCTCTGCTCACTCCCAAAGTTGGTTATGGTAAGAGGCTGGGCTCATTCTGGAACACTGGACTACTAGTGGTGCTGTTGACTTAGGCAAGAGTTTTAATTTTAACTCCCCTCCCACCTTTTTGCAAGACCTAAGGGCTTTGTACAAACCTGGAAGAGAAGTGGCAAAAATTACTAGCAAGGAGTACAGAATGTCCAAGAGGTCAGTAGTCTGTAAAATTATTCCATGCTCATGAGTGGACATTTGCCTTACCTGGAGGATGTTTAATTAAAACCTAGGAACATTTATAAGAAACATTCTTAGAGATCTAAAAATCAAGTGAGTAAATTGCATGTATAGGTAATTTGCTTTGTAAGAAGTATTTATTCTGTAGAAATAATACTGGCTTTAAGCACTTAAAATCCAGGCTCATTTTCATGTTTGACTATATAATTTTCTAGACGTTTTGGTGGTATTGGTAAAAGCACAGTTTATACACTTGCATCTGTAGGAAACTGTGCCAAGGGTGAGGGGGAGCATAAGGGGATCTTGGAAGAAAATGTGTTCTGGGAATTGAGTGGAGTCACACAAGAATTAAGGTTAAACCCATCTGTACTCTCGATTGGTAGTGTCATCTGGCCCCACAGACATAGGGAGGGGCCTTGCTAGATGTAGCAGGTGACAGAGGATTTGCTTGAACTAGACGAAATTGCTGTTTGGGAGGTTGAAAATCAAAGGTCAAATATCAAAGATTCTGTCGTGTAAGTCCTTATTGTTGTGTAAACCCTCAGACAAGATTGGATTGGTGAGAAGCTGTGCTACATATGCATGGGAAACGACCAGTGGTCTATAGAAGTATCCCACATGTGTGTCTGGAGCTGGATGGTCACTGGCCAGAGGGTGGCTTAGTGTTAAGATTGTTCCCGAGGGCTGGGGATTTAGCTCAGTGGTGCCACTGCCTGCCTTGCAAGTGCAAGGGCCTGAGTTCTATCCCCGGTACCAAAAAAAAAAGATTGCTCCCAGAATGAGTGTGTAGAAGGCGGATGCTGTGGGGACTCTCGGGAAGATTTCTTGGGGTGAACTTTGGAGAAGGAGGGATTTGAGGCCAACGACAGAGCCTACAGGTTACCCCTCCTCTCCCAAGCACCCAAGGAGGGACCTTTGGGGTGGACTTGTTGCAAAGCTGAGGGTTCGAGTAGAGTGGAAAATTGGCTCTGCTGTTACTTTTGGCTGTATTTCTCCTTTGTTGGATAAACCAATAGGAAAGTGTTCTCAGCCTCTGACCCTGGACTGAGAAGCATGAAGAAGCACATTTGTTGGGTCCCTGCTGCCCTTCCCTTTCTATGTCTGTGGTATTTGAAGCCTACTGCTACAAAGTTACGTTTTTTTTTAACCTGGGTATAATATTTTGTTTGCAAGCTATTGGTCTGATTTTGCTGACCAAATTATCTTTCTGCCCTATTTGGTCTTGTTCTTTTGGTATCTTTTTCTCACTCTGTGTGTGTGTGTGTGTGTGTGTGTGTGTATACATAGTTTTCTCTCACTTCTTTCCTTTCTTTCTCCCTCTTCCTCCACATCCTCCTTCCTCAGTCCCTCTCCCCACTCCTCCCAGAGCTTCTGACTTAAAACAGAAGTTGTTACAATTGATTCATGTGCGTTGTCTTTTTCTTTTCTGCTTTTCCAGTTCCTCCAGGAGTGATACAAAATGGAGCACGCGTTCTGAGCCGAGGGCTGTTCCCTGGCGTCCGGCCATTGCCAATCACTCCCATTGGAATGACGGCAGCCATGAGGTAAGGGAGAAGCCACCTGGATGAGTGGGAGGGGCATTACTTTGTCGCCAGACCCCTTTGGGGGATCAAGAAGACCAGCTTCTAACCGGTGAAGACAAACCTAGTTTGGGTGTTCAACAAAGTCAGAGTAACCTCAGTGCCCCCAGTCCAAATGCCAGCTGCTCCTTCTTGGGCCATCACACTATCCTGGCTCTGCAGATTAGAAAATGGAGACAGATTAAACTGTAAAGTTTTTTGTTTTTTGTTTTTTTCCCCCTGAGGAAATGGGATTAATGTGGGAAGAAGGAAAGAATGGGTTGTTAGATTCAAGGCTAGTTCTAGACCCAGCCTTGTCACTTCCTGGTCCTGTGACTCTGGGCTGTGTCTGACCTGTCTGGGCCTCAGTTTCCTCACCCACTGTACTCCTCTGTCTTAAAGCAGGGGTCGCAGGACAAGTCAAATGCAAAATCATGTGTAATATGTGCTTTGGGAAGTGGCCTATGAATAGCAGGTGGTATCATTCCCCTGTTCCCAAGAATCATTTCACTTGCCAGGCCGCATGAACTCTTCCTCCTCATCTTTCTTCCATCCTCCTCATCTCCACTGCCAGCCCAAGATTAGGGTCCACCACTAGCTTCAAACCACTATGTGCACCAGTGTGGCGGCCTCCTCCTATTTTCCTGCCATCCGTCAGCCGCTGCCATACCAGTTTCTTAAAATGTGCCAGAGTCAGCAGAGCCACTTTCATAACTCTCCTCCTCGCCCCGTCACCCTAGGCTTCCCTTCTTCTTGAGCCAGATTTGTTCATCAAATATGTCCAATATTTGCCCATCGTAGCCATGCTGCTGGTTCTGCATAGATTTCCCTCAGCTTGCACATTGTCCCTTCACGATACTTTCCTGAAGTGGCCAGTGCTGTCAGAAGCTCTTCAGACCCCTGAATGCCTGAGGGAGGATGACAGGGAATAAAATAGACAGAAACAGTATTTAGCATGCAGTGGGGGACCAGGAGGAATCTGTCTGTAGTGGACAGGCTTCAACGCTCTCCACAGTGGGCCCACTTTTATTGAATCAGCAAAGAGCACAAGGGAGCCAGTAGTGTACTATTTGAGGAACAAGGGACTGCAGTAAGATTGGGGTAGCAAAATAGGGACCAAGTTTAACATCTCAAAGGGGAAAGTTAAGGTCCTTCCCCAAAACACCAGGATGTCTGCATTTTATATTGCCCTCAGCAGAATGTTATCTTGCCTCAGGAGTGCCATGACTGTGGCTTTCCCACATAGCCAGGACGTCTGTAATCTTTTGCCTACTTCTCTATTCCCCAGGCAAATTAACACCTGGGACCTGGGGCCTGGGGCCTGGCCCCCACCACCCTAATCATATCGTAACTGGTCCCCAGCATAGCATGCAATAGAGTTCTCTTTCCTGTGGCCCATCCTGTGCTGCTGGGGTGGCCTTTAATGCATGACCCTATCTTATAATTTGACTGTGTGTCCTCAGTGGCCTGTTTGCCGAGGATGGGGAGGAGATATCGATCAGTCGGGTGACTGATGCCTCACACCTGTAGCACAGGCTGTAAAACCTCCTGTCTCTGTGAGCTGCATCCTCCCCTCTTCTTTCTCCTGCACTTAGGGATCCAGTTGGCCCTGAAGAATATTTTTGCTTTCAGTGTCTCATGTCCCAGAGAAAACCACCCTAAAACATCCATTTAGCTGGGCCTGAGGGAGAGGAGACATGAGAGGTCAAACTCTTGTGCATATCAACCATGTGGAGCACTCTTCTGGCAAACCAGCCTGCTTTTGTTATGATAAACATCACTTAATCTTTAGACTCTCATGTTTGAGACCTGATGAGTAGGGAAAAATTGGTAGGAATTAGAATAGTGATAGATCATAAATAAAATTATGTATCGTTTCTGCTAACCTAACATGGAAATGGGAATGTTTTCTAAATATATATATGGGAAGGGTCTTTTCTTTATACTTCTATATAGTCTTTAATGGTTATCTTCAGGTCATTGATTCTTGAGTTCCTAAGTGATAAGCCTTTTCCATGAGGCCAAAATACCAATCCCCTTCCCTCACATTGTGAAACAGATACATTCTGTTTTCTATTGCTTTCTTAAAGTCTTTCCTGCCTTACCTCTTAGTTTAGTTTACCTTTCTGGAAGAGAAGACTTGGAGACTGTAAGCTATTTTTGCTTGGACCAACAAAGTGTTTTCATTAGTAGATTCTAAATGTCAACTTCAAATGTGTTGTCTTGACCATACTTCAAGTGCCTTTAAGCTTAGTGTCCCCGTGCATCCAGCTATTCCTTTTAGAAGAGGATGGAGGAGTAGGCAGGCGCCAGAGTGGCCGTTGGCAGGAGCTTCCTCCTCATTTTAATTATCACTCCATGGTACACACCATCACAGATTTCACTGATTTGTCCCCTCTAGAGGCATTATTTTAAATACTGGTGGTGTCTCGTTAGGAGATAAAGCTCTGCAGCCAGACAGCACAGTGTCCAGTCAGGAGGCAGCAGCCACACCAGAGGACTGAACAGAGACTTGAGGGTACTGTTCACCAGGTAGAAAGCTACTCAGGTGACCAGTGAGTTAACAAGAGAACTCACAGTGACTTGGGGGAAGCAAGTGCAGGGAGTAACCACCATCTGTAGCTGGAGGGAATAAAAGGAAGAAATTGGAATGGTGGCCGGTGCACCCAAAGCTCAGGCTTCTGCCAAGAGGTGGGGTCTGGGATCCATCCCAGCATCTGAGAAGGAGGTGCATGTTGGTGTGTGATCTTCTGAGTGTTGGAAAACCCAGACTGGATTCCACAGCTGCTGCAGCAGTGAAGCCCGGCTGCTGAGGCAAGAGGCGTTGCTAGAACAATGGTTGCTGGAAACAGAGGCTGGAGCTGTCCCCTTCACCAGCCACCACCTTCACAGTCTCTGTAGCACCTGCCTGTTGAGGGTAAAGCAAAGTGTGGTTTACGCAGTCCAGACCAGCCCCAGCATGTGAATCAGATGAGAAGGGTGGGCTTGAGGCTGAGGCACACTGGCCTTAGAGGGGCATAGTTTGCTGAGTGTCCACCCACTGTGAGAGTGGTCACAGTGTAGTGACCTTCCACAGCCTCATAGTTCTGAGCAAAAGAGTTCTGGTAAAATATGCAGCCATGCCATTTGCAGAAACAAAACAAAGAAAGCCGCTGTACGTTAATAGTAAATTGTCTAAATGTTAATTCTGTACCTGTCACATTAGTTTTAAGAGAAATTAGAAAAGAGAGGTAGTAAGTTCTTAAGATGGAGAACACTTATTTGTATCACCACATGCTTTTTGTAGGGCAAATAGGCACTGAGATGCTTTTAGAAAAAAAATGAACAGAAACACAGTTAAGTGGTCATTTGCAGAATTGGTGTCTGTAAAACCCATTCAGAAATGTTTAGGGGGAAAATTGTTTAGCTCTTTCACGTTCATTGTAATTTTTAAATTTGGCCACATATCCATTGAACCTAAATTCAACTGAGGTTGAAAGGAAAAATGATTCTGTGAAGAACAGAACAGCGCAAAGTGGGCTGTCACCCGCCAGACCTCATGGCAGTGGGCACACGGTGATTCCTGCATGGGGTTGGGAGGTGGGTTCCAGTGTTTATAGGGGCTGCTGCCCCCAGTCTGCTTCTCTGCTCGGCTGGGGTCCAGGGAAGGCGAGAGCCGTTAGCACCTACTAAAGACCAATTTCCTCCTCTCCTTCGTGTGACAGGTTTTCTGTGTGAGTCTAAGCACTTCTCCGTAAGTGAAAATATTTGTCTTTCAGGGCTTTTCCCCCTCCTCGGGCTGAGTGGCAAAGGCCATGTTTGTTTGTCTTAACTCTGAAACTGTTATTGACATAGATGAAGTGTTACTTTTATTAGCTGATCATTACACAGCTTGTATTTGCTGGGTTCCTTTGCATATAATTATGATGTGAAATCTCCCTTGTAAGAGTATCTGTCAATAGTGTAATTGACTTTTCCCTGTTGACTTTCTACTCAATAACCTCCGAGACTGGCCGATCCTTAGACATTGGAAGCCTGCTTGTTTTGAAATTTGCCTGAGTGCAGTGTTCAAGATCTATCGTCCTCAAAAGAACTGCTGACACATCTTAAGAATTTTATGCCTGCATCTTCTGCTGCTTTCCTAGTGAAATCTGCCATAGAAATTCCCTGAAATGGAACAGTTATACCACTGTGAAAAAATAATTTCTGGCCTTTCTGTGGAAGAGGAGCCCAGATTTCTTACATTCATAGCATTGTGGGCCGCTCCCCACACAGGGACCATAGAAACTTCCTCAGGCCATCTTGCTTTTAACCTTTAGAACTCTCTGATCCCCATGTGGCCACTCGAAGGTCAAAGAAGAACTAAATGTCCCAGGTTGGCCAGAGGGTTGGGAGAGAATAGATGGGAGGCAGGTGCTTCATGTTGCAGCAGAGCCCAGAAATTACACATAGAAACTCAGGAACCAAGTTTCCTGGGTCCTTCCTTATTCTGTAGCTATGGGACCTTGGACAAGTACGCTTGGGCTTCTCACAAGGAAGCTGTACCTGTCTTGGGAATTAAAATCAGTACAGTTATGTGCTTGGTGTGAAATAAGCATTATGTAAATATCTGATAATAACATGAGTGTGCCGGTCTGCCCCCCGTAGACCTTCTTGGGTCCCCTTCCTGAGCACCTGAAGATAAGCCCCAACCTTCAAGAGAAGACTTAGCTTGAACCTCAGTCACATCAGCCCAGTGTATATTTGTGGCAAGGCAATTGCCTTTGAGGAATGATGTCTGGCCCACAAGTCCAGACCATAGCTTGTTATAAAACTGTAAGAAAGTGCCATTGAATCACCATGTAAGACTGCTTAATTTTACTTGGTTCTCTAAGGACCTAAGGGAAAGCTACAATTCCCATTGAACATGAAGTAAGCTGACCATTCATGGTTCCGTTGCAGTAGAAAGACATCAATTTTTAAAATATATATATATTTTTTTAGCAGCATGTTTGCAATACATAATA